GCTCCCATTTCATTTTCTGTAGTCTCCAAAGGCTGAGTATTTCTGTCGTCATATAATTTATCATTTTTGTTCAGTTTAGTAAAAAGTAATTTAGAGCATAGGCCTACTTGATTATGAGCTTTATAGCTCTTATATTACCTGGTGGGCTTCCATCCCAATCGTGGCATTTTTATTATCCAGCAAGAAAATCTTAAAAAGTAATCCATTCTTTTGCATGCAAAAGTAAGCTATAAAGGACGTTTTATATTATCTAGCAATTCTAATATTCAGAGCCTAAATAGTAATGGATAATTTACAAGCAATGACATTCGAAGACTAATAGGCTACATTGTCAAATCAATCCAATTAGTCTACTAGATATCCATATTCTCAGTAATATTTCTAAAATGTCCTTTATAAGTATGCTTGTTAATCTGGTTATGCACATTTTTGATCGGGAGATACACTCTCTGAAAAAATTAATTGTTAACCATTTTATTATATACTTGTCTTGATATAAATGTTAACTTACTCCAAAGATAATAATCCTGTTTTTATATCATATTATTGAAATTAAAAATATCGTTGATATATTTTATCATTCTTTTTTACTTTTTATATTATAAATTTAGTTCTTATTGGCAGGAGAGTAAAAGAATTACGTCAAAAGGACAGACCGAGTTGTGAAATATAGGCAAAACTGAGTATTTGCTATCATGCAATAAAGTGACACTTCAATACATTAAAAATTTGAACTCCTGGTTATACTTTACTCATATAATTTAACTATTGTTTATCTTAAAATTAAAAGAACTGTTATTTTTATTTTATATATAAAAATTATATAAATACAGTTAAATTATAGAGGCTATTAGCGATTATATATGCGTCCATGTATCATTAAAAAATGCAATTAATTTTACAGCGCTCTTTTTAATAGAAGAAAAAATTAAAATAAGATTTATTTCATGAAATTTACATAAGAACTATGTTACCCTATATTGTTCAAGGTGATAAGGAACTTGTGGCCCAAATTTCCAACAATGAATACCTAGTTACAAACAACAAAACGACAGAATAAACACACCTAGAGCATAATAAAAAAGATGCTAATATATAGATCGGTTGTGTGGAAAAAAATAAAGTTTCTTAGCTATGAAAATATTTTCCTGAGCTTAAGATTTGTTTTTACAAGTTATTTTATATATTAGTGCCAAAATCTCTATAGCATATGAGGAATAAATGTTAACGTAGTTCTTTCAATTAATTTTATCTCAATCTTTGTCTTCTACTTAATTGGTTCAAATCGAACTGCTCCTACTAAATGTTTTAGAGATAAAATTTGATATTTTGATAAGGTAGTAAGATACTAAGATATTAGTTAGATATATTTAATCAAAGCTGGGAAAATCAAGATGGTGCAGCCTATTGTATCGTAGCGATCTTTTTTTATTGTATATAAGTAGTTTGACCTTGTTTTGGCAACTTGGTTGTATTGGCAGAAGGACCTAGAGGAATGGACCTTGTCTGGAGTCCACAGTGGACTTGATTTATTCTCAGACAATTCGCCGGTAGTAGGGATATAAGAGCTGAAAAACCGTGGTGGCCATTTTTATTTAGCTATTATCAGATAGGTTCTCTCATGGACATGACCCATTGAAGTAAGAGCTTAACCACGATATTTACTCGGTCTACATGCTGCATAGTTATAGGAGAAGCTGCAGAATCAATTTAGGTTTCCATGTCAATTAAGAAGCCAGCCTGCTTAGTGCGGCTGGTGTATATGTGCTATCAAAGGCTTGAGACAAAGTGTAGAACATATATTCTTGGGTGGCATGGATAAGGTGTCAACGATGGAGTGCAATTACTGAACCAGGCAGGTAAGGAAAGGATTCTACGAAGCAAGAGGGGGACTCTGATAAGATCCAAAGAGAGAGGATTGCGGATTCAACCTCAACCTTGGATCAACACTCCCGACATAGTAAGAGGGATGTGGAAAGCAGCTGAAAGGGTAAATATTTTAAAATAGGTTTAGATAAACAAGCAAGAAATTGGGATATTGAAGGGGTGATACAAGGATATGCGATATGTGAATAGATCAGGACCGAAGGAGAGATACCACAACTGTTTAGGAGACATCTGGGCAAAGGCTCGACTCCATTTGCCTCTTTGACGAGTTACAGTATGCTGCTGAGAATGGCAAGACTCACTGACGATGCCGAAGATGATTACTGCGAAATGTATTGGAATGTACTAAATCCTTGGGTCGACTCTGGAAATTAGTATGCATACTATGAACTCCAGACAACGTGCATTTCTCTAGGTTTTCCTGCCAATATGGCCAAGTTGCGAAAACAAGATGAAACAACTTGAAAATATATTTAAGACCACACTTTTACTTTTCTGTTTCAATAATCACTATCTCATTAGTTATTAGTTACTTAATGATTCAGTAGGAGTTACAATGGTATACTTCATAAGTGCGAACATAATTTGAACTCAAAATTCTTTAGGACCTAAGTTCTATCATTGATCCCATTTGTGATATAAATAAAACAACGAATGTAGTAATTGTCATTTTAGCAATAAAGAAGGATAGAAGGTGAAATTAAATATCATACCGGTATGCTCATCTTGATTTTTACAAGACTGTTGGACAGAATAGTCTACATTTAAATTTTAAATCTTATATTTAAGATTTATGCTATATTTTGATGTAACTTCTTGGTAGTCGAAAAGAAAAAAGTAGGTATACTGTCCTTATTATGGCGAAGTTTCAAAATCAAGAATTTCTCCCTATGGAAAAAAAGGAAATATGAGAGGACTGGTCGTAGAATTTTCTCATAATGATATGAGTAGAGCTGACGCATCCATTGAATTGCACATTTCCTTACTTTCTCAAGAGAATATGGTATGATTAAAGACCTGGCCTGCTTTGAAATTCACATCTGCCCTGTGACACAAGGGCACTCGTGGCAATGTGGTCGAGTGGTTACCGTGTCAAGCTACCATTCTGCACTGACACGGTTCGATTCCCGGTGGGGGTGTTGATAAGACAGATGTGAGGTCTAAACTGCAGTCCATGCTGGATGAGAACAACTTTTAGGAATGCAATGCAATGTGCAATTCATTGGAAGCGTCAGCTCTACTCATATCATTGTGGAAAAATTCTACTACCAGTCCTTTATCACCTTTAATAAAATAAAGTGAATACCTCTCATATTACTGGTAGTCTCGAAACCCTACTCAAACACGAAAAAATGAAAGCAAAGTGAAAATGTGAGTTGAAATCTTTTTACGATAATCAATGATAAAAATAATTTGCTCTAACTTTCAGATAGTCAGCCATTTCGTAACAATTGATATGATAAGGCTATTATCCATAACGTTATGGATTCTATTCCTACCGCGATAGGCTAGCAGATAAAATAGTCGAGTGATTCTAGCGCTAAATTAATTTAGATTTTAGGATTCATTTCAAATGGCGAATATAATACTGAAATATCTATACCTTATCGTAGTTTTGATATTCACTACTAAGTGAAAACATGTTATTACAGTTTAGCAAGAGGTTTCTCTAATTATTCCTATCTGTTTGCTTCACACCTAATAATTACACCCATAATTAAAGTTACTGACGAACCTAGATCATCGCCATTGGTACTTTTCTTCGAATGCTGCCATTGGCTTATTTTATTGGACTTATTTAAATATTTAGCTCCTTCTCCCTTTTTCCAGTACAGAAATAGGAACAACAGCACAGGTAGACATATGAATAGCTGTGCGAAAAAGTGAAAGATGATGGATGCTCACGACCTCATTTAATACCATACGGAGAAAATATTGCTTTAAATGTGGCTAAGTGCTATTTCCTCCTTCAAACTAGCTACAGTTCAAGTACTTGTGTTAGTGATTACACTTTCGTGAACACGCACGCAACTACTCACATATGTACTTCTACAAACATGCGTAAGAACATATTGAAACAGAAAGACAAGATATATAGACAATTTGAGTTCTGCCTTATCTCGACACTACTGGTGAAATGAAGCAGCCATCAAGATGGGCAAAACGGCGCTTGACCAAGAGTACTTGAACTTGCACAGAGGCAGATGGGTCTATTAAACCTATCCTTGATACAACTGCTCGACAGACCAAGCTTTAGAACAATGCACCTTTTCGTCTCTCCCTCAGAATGGCTACTCCTCCCATCCAAAATCTCTCTCCGCCGACCTACATGCCCAAATATTGGCGATTTTTGTATGCCCTCATAGAGTCATACTCATCTTTATGCCCATTTCCTTTTCCTTCTTACAAAATATCCCATGACAATCAAATGGATAAACGTGCCTGCATCTTGACATATGAGCTTTTCTGGTACATGAACGTTTATGCGTTGTCTTCTCCAAATCTATAGCTATTCAATTCTTTCTCTTTCTCTCACGTCTGCTTTCCCTGGACAGGACACTTTAGAAGAAAAGTTTAACTTGCTTATAAATCCCTCCTATCCCTGACGGATAAAAACGGCATCATTTTTACATTCGCGAGGCAGAGAGTTTAAGTAATTTTTCTAGAATTCTTATGTCGCATCTCGCACCAGATGGATTGCACATTCTTGCTGGCCAGCTCGTCTTATGGCGAGGTACTTGCTAGGAATATGATTTCGGGCGATAGCATGAAGAAGCAATAAAGTGTGTATATATATATATTTATGTGCGCGAGATTTGAATGATTCTGATCTAAAAAGTGAACAAAGGAAGATAAATAAAGGGATCTAGAAAGAAATTGTACCTTCTGCCGAATTTTACCAAAATAGATTATGACATGATTGGGGATTTTTGAACTCCAGCCCGGAGCAAAGAAGATGGATTCCACTGCAAGGCTGCGTTTCAAAAACCGAGAAACAACTCTCGATACGGAGCGCCAATGTAAAGATTTAGCTGACGCCGGGGAGGAGATTGCTGGACCTTCAGTTTCTCGGCAAGGTCCGAGGGAGTCATACACCGGGCATGGCAGTCTACTCGTCAGTAGTGCTGAGGTTGATTTTGAACACTCGCAACAAGAAAAGGTTTCTCATAATTTCGATCCAACGCACAAAGAAATAGATATATACCCTGTTAAAAAGTGTAATGTTTCGCCCAAATCAGGTATACCTGTAACGACAGCTCTGGCCAAAAGTCAACGAAAAAGCACGACTTCCGGGACTGCAATAAAAAGTCAGTGCTCCACGTCACCACATGAGGTATCTGGTGGATTGCGTAGGCATCTTTCCTGCAGCGCAGCAGCACAATCCGAACTAGGCATGCCTTTTCAGACGACTAGCAAAATAAGTACTTACAATAAGAGGCTCTCAGAAGCTGCTTCATTACTAGACCATGAGCTAGATAGAACCAATTCAAAAGAAAACTTGAAGGATACTTTTGGCCAACCAATAGAATTGGCTATTCCATCACCTGGCCAACCTTGCGAATTCCTCTGGTCTGAAAATGATGTAACTACTTGTGCCAAAAACTCAAATAATAGCGTCCAAATGCTGAGTGGTGTCAATCAAAATCTCTGGCCTCCATCTCATTTGAATAGGTCTCAGATATCTGGGTCTGTCTCGCCGCTTGATTTTGCTTCGGGCTTAAATCAAAACGTTCACACGACACCTGTACCACTAATCTGTCCACTGACCAGTAGCATGAGTTGCAGTGGAAGCGGTTATGATCTACCCACTACACTAATCGGTCGTCCAAGCTATGGCTTTGATCAACCAGTCTCTTCTGCCTTCCGACTGAAAGAGGCCCGACGCTCAAGCCACTCTTTAGACCTCGCAACAGCAGCACATTGCAATGAATTTCTTCCCTCCTTGTCGCAGCAACAATTGCCCTCTTTGAAGCAGAATACGCAAGGTCAGGCCAAATCAGGAGCATCATCATTTGGTCCTGCAAGCCAGTTGGCACTGCCAATATACCATCCACTCTATTATCATCCAATTAACGCCTACCACCGTCTTAGTCCGACCCATCATCATTACCACCACAAACACATACTGGAATTGTACAATGATCCGCTAGAAGCAGAATTTGCCAAAGCAACAGCGGCTGCTGTACTTGCAGCCAGTGAATCAAGGCCAAGACAAACCATTACTGAGGTCCCAATAGAGCTATACGCTCATGCCCAGAGATCGCGGTATCCAATAGCGGGGAGTAAAAGCAGCGGTGTTATGGGGTCTAGATCCCGACAAACTCGTGAAAAGCAAATGCACAGCTCAGATCAAACACTAACTGTTGGAGCGGCTGCGGCAAATGCTGAAGTCTTAGCAGTTGGCCCTCAGCTCTGCGGCATTGATCAACGCGCTCGAACATTAGCCTGCAACATTTACTCTACTCCGGTTGCCTTGAGTACCACAACAAATGTTCTCAGCACTTCCGGTGTCATAAGTGGAATTGGATGCAGCAAAGGGATTGAGGCCAATCCTCGATCAAGTAGTCCGGTAGCCTATTTTTCTCAGGATGTCAAAAAGCCAAGCAACGGCCGTCAAATAGGCAAGACAGGGGAGTCTTACTCTATAGTTGGTCCAACATTATCTACTAGTTTAGTCGAGGTTTCATCCTGTAGGAGCAACTATCCACAACATTTACTACTGAAGCGTGAAACCAGCATACAGGCTGGTGGATATATGCCCCTCCGAGCCAGCTCATTTAGCGGCACCATTGATCATGATCAATTCTTTGTCCCGGAAGATCTTCCTCCGAACGAGTTGACCAGAGAATACAGCCAACCACTGCAGGAATTTGACAGACGCAGCACCAGATCGCTTCATTTAGTTGGAATGGGAGGAGGACAATCTCAAATAGCTTCCAGTGGTGCAGCGACATTTCCAAATGTGACAGTGCCTCAGGTGCAGCAACTTCCAGGCACATCGACTGTTGTCTCAACAACCACGCAGACTTCGTCTAGCTGGAATAAGTATTCTCGGCATCAGCACTGCTTTGAGACACAATCCAACATCGGCACAATCGTTATGGCATGCACGAGTTCGCAACAACCATCAATAATTACAGGAAGTACCGGGACTCGTAAACAAGTTGGTGGACGTCTCCTAGCCAGAGCTGCCTCTTGGCGACAGTCGCACTCATTCCAAAAACTTGCGGTATCATTGAACTTTCGCGGTTGCGAATCCAGTTCAACAGGCGAGTTCAGCTCGCCAGCAATATCGGTTGGCTCACGTAAAATACCGGAAATACCTACAGATCTAAGTTCTACTCGTACATCATGTAGTCTAGCTGAAATGAATACATGGGCGCTTCTAGGTTCAGGCCGTAAAGCTGAGCTGGGATGGAACATGCGTAGGCGTAAAGGCAATTTTCGAACGTTGGCACAAACCAACAAGACTGCGGCAGGTGGTGAG